GTAGAAGCAGTTCCCATCCAGCCGCTTCTTGCGGATGTAGGAATATTTCTGCAGCGGATCCTGGGGGTGGCAGGGTCCGTGGGGACACCGGGGGGGCATGGGGACAGCCCCAGGACAGCCCAGCTACAGCCAGCCCTGGCCTGGTGTCCCAGTGCCTCCCAGTCCTATACTGGTGCTGTTCCCAGCACCTCCCAGTATCCCTGGACTGTGTCCATCCCTGTCCCAGGTTCCAAAGCAGCTGCCAGTCCCACCCTGGTGCTGTTCCCAGTATGTCCCAGTGCCACCACCAGCTCCATACTGTGTGTCCCAGCTCCTCCCAGGCCCACCCCAGTGTCCCAGAGCAGCTCCGAATCTGACCCCAGCGCTGTTCCCACTATGTCCCAGTGCTTCCCAGTATCTCCCAGTGCCTCGCCCAGCCCCATTCCAGTGTCCCAGAGCAGCTCCCAGTCCCCTACTGCTATCCCAGCGTCCCCCTAGTATGTTCCGGTGCCCCCCCCAGTGCCGCACCTTGATCTTCTCCTGGTACACGTGGTCATCCTCGGCGTACTCCCTGTAGAGGTCGGACAGCTCCAGGCGCTCCGACACCAGCGGGTTCTGCACCGCGATCTGGGGTGGAGGGGAAAAACCACGGGGGGGTCACGGCCTCGGGGGGCTCCGGGACCCCCGCGGGGCGCGGCCGGAGGGGCTCCAGGGGAGGATTTGGGGCGGGGGTTTCCCCACCTCCGGCTGGATCCGGTCGTGTGCGCCATGATCACTCGTCGTAGGCCAGGCAGTTCACGCCTGGGGGGACACCGGGGGTCACCGGCGCGTCCCGAGCGGCTCCCCGGCCCACCGGGAGGATCTGGGGGCTCGGGGGTCCCCCCGAGAGGGTCCTGAGGGGGAGGGCGGGGAAGGCGCGGAGGGATCGGGGCGGTTTTGGGGGATTCCGGCGGTGGGTCCGGGGAACTGGGGTCGGTCCAGGGGCTGCCGGGATGATCGAGGCCCTCCCGGGAGGAGCGAGGCCGCGGCGCATGGGAGAACCGGGGGATCACATCCCGAGGGTGGCGGGATGGGGATGTGTGAGGGGGCTCCGTCGGTACCGTCCAGCCGAGCGGCTCCGGCTGCGGCTGCTGAGGCTCCTCCGCCGCCATCCCCGCGCCGCTGCCGGGAGCGGGACCTGCCCCGCCCGCAATGGACGTGGTTACCGATACTGGCCCCGCCCTCCCCTCATGGCGGCGCCGCCGTCAGGGAGCGATGGCGGCCCCGGTGAGGGCGGCGGGCACGGCCCGGGAGCTCCGCGATCCCCGGCGGGGTCCCGGCCAGGGCCGGTGCCTCCTCTGTCAGCCCTCCCGGCCCGGCGCCTTTGTGTTCTCTGAAGCGAAAAGGAAGGGAAATGGTGTTTTCCCGTTAATTGGAGAAGTAATGAAAAAGGCGTGATTGAAGCTCTGAGAATCGCCCGTGAAGGGGGTTCCTCCTCCATTTAAACAGGCACTTATGGAAAGAAGGTTTCTGCCTGTATTCAAACTCTTTCTCCTCTCACTGCCCGCTTTTTGCCGGCGTCACAAGGATATATCGGGGAGGCACTTGGGAAGAACCGGGATGGAACTGAGGGTACCGGGAACATGAAATTGGGTAGAAAAGGATCGCACCCACTCCGGTGCTGCTTCAGCACAAGGCTTTACTCCCTCAGCGCCTCCTTCAGCAGCGCCGCGTGCCCAGGTCCCTCCAGGTCCCTCCGGGTGCTCCCCCAGCTCCCACCCACCCCCTCCTCTCCTCCAGGAGACAGCCGCGCAGGTGTGCCGAGGTAACACCTCCCAAAGCGACCCCCGGCAGGACCCGCCGCCTCCTCATCCTCGCTGGTCGCACCAAGGGTAGCCAAGACTCCCAAAATCCCGAATTTTACCCAATTCTCCCAGGCTTCCGCTGTCCCGTTTGAAACTTCCCGCGCTGCCGAGGTGAGGGGCGGGGTTATGCAGATTTATCGAGACAAAGTGCGCGAAAGGCACGCTGGGAGAAAGTTTTCTGGCGGGTTTCGGGGTTCAGTGGGGCCGGATCGGGCGGGACGCGAGCAGGAAATGCGGGAGGAGGCGCGGAAAGAGGCCGGGAACGGCCCGGAGCAGCTGCAGGGGCGGCGCGGGGGTGGCCGTGAGGTGGTAAAAGGCAGATCCGGGTGGGATCGGTGCGGGGTGGAAACTCCCGCATCGCTTCTCGGCCTTTTGGCTAAGATCAAGTGTAGTATCTGTTCTTATGAGTTTAATATCTGATACGTCCTCCATGAGAGAACTTCATATTAAACGGATTTTTAGGTTCGGGAGTTGGACCCGGAGCTTACTCTCTCCATTCCGCGCATCGTCCTGGTATTGCAGTGCGTCCGGGAGCGGTGCACCCCGCTCGGGATCACCTAATGGGTTAAAGATAGACTGAGCTTTTCTTTCGAGTCGCGGCCGCCCGGTCTCTATCGCGATATCCCCGCTCTGCAGCTCAGCCCCGGACCCTTCTCTATCGCGATATCCCCGCCCTGCGGCTCAGCCCCGGACCCTTATCTATCGCGATATTCCTGCCTTGCGGCTCAGCCCCGGACCCTTCTCTCGCCGTCCCGCTGCCGTCAGCGCTGCCCCCCACCGGCCCCGCCGCGCTCACAAAGGGCTCCGAGCGACCGCCCGTGGCCATCGAGTGCCGTTCTATCGCGGCTCTATCGCCATTCTATCGCCGTTCTATCGCGCTCACAGCCCTGCCATCGCCACTCAGCCTCGCTCCTGCATTCTCCTGCCAAACAAGAACTTTGCTCTCTTACTTAACTTCTCTTTACTTCTTAACCTCTTAGACTCTCTTACCCCCTCTTGCCCTTCTCTCTCTACCCCTTTAATTACCTTCTGCCCTCATGCTCTTAGCCTCCCCTTTCCGCTCTCTCTCTCCCTCTTTGAGTGCGTTTATGCTGTGGCTGGCAGAGGAAATGGATCTCTTCCACGCTCTACCTAAATAATAAACTGCTTATCCCAAGCGCAGCCTGGCTTGGAGAAGTATCTCACCACAAGCCCGTTTTCACTCCTACACCTGGGGCCACATTTCTGGGCACACCTGAGCCCCTGGACATCTGGATACCCATTTTGGGGTGCACCTGAGCTGCTGGCTATCTGTGTCCCTACTGTTTGGGCTGTATTGGGTTTGCACAGCCTGCTTTTGATAGCTGGGCTTTCTACAGGGCTGGGTTCTGAGAGAAGGTTCTGGAAGTTTCCTCTGTGTTCAGCAGATCCCTGATGGATCCCTGGATGGATCCAAAGATGGAGGTATCAGATGCAGAGTCCACGAGGATGCAGAGATCCACCCATAGCCCCTGGAGAAGCCCATGCCGGACCAGGGCAATGAGATGAGGCTGTGGCCCCGGGGGATACCTGTGGACAGAGGGGCCCTCGCTGGAGCCGCCTGTCCTGGAAGGACTGACCCCGTGGCAGAGTGACCCACGCTGCAGCACTGTGAGGGGGCTGTTCCCCATGGGATGGACTCAGCTTAGAGAAGTTCCTGGAGAAGTCTCCGGTGGGAGAGAGCCCAGGGTGCAGCAGGGGAACGACTCCTGTCCCTGAGCAGCGGGAAAAGCCCCGGGGGATGGAGTGACCATGGCCCCATTCCCTGTGTCCCTGCACTGCCGGGGGAGGAGGCACAGCTGGGAGGAGGGAGGGGTGGGGGGAAGCTGGTTTTAAAGGTCTTCCTTTACTTCTCATGATCCTGCTTTGAGTTTTTGGAGTTTTCTGCTAGAAATCTCTCTCCTCCCCCACTCATCCACAGGGATTTGGGGCGGTTTACCTTTTTAGGGGGAAATCCGAGTGATGCACTGATGCTCCTAATTAGAGGTGAGAGAAATGAGGCTCCAGGCTTTCCGCTGAGCCGGAGCCACCGAACACCCAGGGCTGGGAAAGGCGGGCCGGGAGCTGCGGAGAACT